ATGTTCCCACAACAAATCAATACCTCTGGGGGTACTGATCCAGGAGTTTCCTTGTCTTCTGGATTGGTTCAAAATTACAAGGCTACGGAGTTGAACGTAAGTAGTCGTAAACCCATGAAATTGGGTCGGCTTTTCAACGACGATTATAAAATAAAATAAAATAGCCCATCGTGTAGCTCTAGTGAGACGTAAATGAACAAATCAAATCAAATCCAACCAGACTAACCCGGCCTACATCCTTTATATTACTATTTTATAATATAAAATGAAGATCGAACTCACTAACCCTCGAACAAGGGTCCAACTCCCTAACAGTCCAACCTGCTCAACACAAGCCTGCATGTAATTCTATCAATAAATAAATAAAATGAACAAACCACATGGCTTTCTTGGCCATGTTTTACCTCCCTCAAAACACTGTGCGAAGTGTGGAGATAGCGGGTTCGAATCCCGTTACCCTGGATGCATCTTCGCACCGTCCTTCTACTTGACAAAGGTTCATAAGTTTTAATTGCGCAGACAAGCCTGCAAATTTATGTCGTACAAATAAGTAAACAACAATAAAAAAAATTGCCATTTTTATCGAACGCATTTTGCAGCGCAAGAGTGGGTATGTATGCCTATTTTTTAATGCTCTGCAAAATTTGAATTCTTTAAAATTTTTATCATTATTACCTATTAGCTTGTATTTGAAAAAAAATTAATTTTAGACCCAATCAGACTTAACGAATGTTGAAACTTTTTGTGAGATCAAACAAAACGTGTATATTTTCAATTGCAATTGAGTATTTTTTTTAAAAATTTAGTCGTTATAAAATATTTTCTATATTTAGTGTTTATATTATCTTAACTATTCTATAAAAATATATATCGCAAACGCCATCAAGTGCCTTGTTGAATGATCAAGATCGAAGTATAGATAAAATAGGATTGTACCAGCATTTCAGCTAATTAGAATTATTTTGACTTTGACGGTATATCAGTCTTGTATTTTTGTTTTAAATATTTAATGTTGTAAAATGTATTAATGATAAATATTGCTCAACTTGTTTTAAATAACATATTTCGGAACTTCTGTAATCTCACTAATAGCAAGGTGACTACAAGGTGTCAAATTCAGCAAAGTCAAACATTTCGTTTGATCGCATTGCAGTGCTATCATATTACGGTAAATAGTTAAATTACTGTTTTTTTCCAACTATAATTCATTATTTTATTGTAATTTATAATCAATGTGATGAAAATTATGCATTTTTTTATGAATTAAAAAATTGGTACTTTTCGGTTAACAGGGGGCAAATTAATCAAACTATTTTTTTTATCACAAAGAAAATGACTATCAGCCATAAAATAAATTAATAAAATTTTAAAAAAAAATAGTTGAATTTACTTACTAACCCAAAAGTACCAAATAATTAAGAAACGTAGTAACACATGATTGAAACCTTTACTTTTAAATAAACATTAGTTTATTAAACACTATGTAATAAAAATGTAATATAGCTATACAATCAGATTTATTACATTATAAACATTGTTTAGTAAGAACACTTGCAGAATGCGCTTTTGGGTGTTATCGATATCGACCTCTGATTGTCGATCTATTTTCATGTTTCGATAATGTGAGAATAATCAAGTTTATGAAATATAAGCAAGGTGTTCTGTAATCATCGCCTTTACTATATATTTATCGATCGCTTGTTAAATTAAGTTAAAATTATGTACCAATGATGGGTTGAAGGTAATTATTTAAGAAACGAAAAAACAGAATCGTTATATCAAATGTGAAGAATGAAGTGTTTTGTACAGAGAAATTAATTCCCAAGATTTTTTTTTCACATATAGCTTTATTTCTTCAGCTCTCATCTTCCTCCCCCCTTTAATTTTTGAGGGTGGAAGAGAAGTGAATTTTATTAATGCAAGCAGCTGAGGTATTGTAAATGTTGTATTTTAATCAATTTATTTATTTATTACTTTAAACTGTATGAAATCGAAATATTTAAAGTTTGATTTATTAAAAGTTATATGGGTTTTTATGGAGATTTATTAGTTCCACATTAGACAATTGTCTTATAATTTTTTATTGTTCTAATTTTGAATTAAACTTCTTTACTTAAAGTTATTTACAGAATTTTGGTGTCAGAAATTCGATGTGACAATTTCAGTTCAAAACTTAATGTACTACTTCTCAATTATGGATACCAAATTTTTTAAACTAAAAAAACGAACTCTTTGCTTTTTAAAATATCAGGGGAAGGATTAGATCGAGTTGAATTTCGAACTTTTCATTTCCCCCCTTTCATTTAAGTTACAGAATCAACAATTAATTTGGCTAAGTTACCTATTTTTAAATACATTTATCCGTTGCATTTAATAAGGGAAAAAGAAAGTAAGGAGTGATTGCCTACTAGAAAGACAGTTATAAATTACAATTTTATTTATTTACTATTTTTAATTTTTTTTTACGAATAAAAATAAAATTATTTTTATGCATTCGCTTATGACAATAAGATATTTCAGGCCTAGTCACATTTACAAAATGCTTTATTTTTGGCCAAAATTAATTATTTTCATGCGTCACCTGCGGGGCAAACCAATCTAGGGCAGATTTATCAGTAACTATGGGAGGTATTCGTGGTTTTCTTCTTCATGCAGTACAACTGCGAGTAAGTTCCACCAAAAGTTTGTCCCAATGCTTGATCCAGGAGTTTCTTTGTTTTCTGAGTTGGGCTCAAATTTAGAAGTCTTCGGGGTTGAGCATTGATTGTCGTAAACCCAAAAATGGGTTTGTTATTCAACGCCGGTTGTAAGATGAGAAAATAAACTAAAATAAAATAAAATAAAGAACGACGAAAATAATTACACAAAAGCAAATATAGTATAGATTCGACTCCAATAGAGTCGAACAAGAAGCATCCTCTGTAAAACTCAATGTTTAACTATGTTTCGACGCAGAGGAAGGTTTTTGTTTATGGAACCAATATTATAGTTCTTTTGTTATTTTTACCATTATTTGCATATTATATGTTAGAGACCCAAGTGTCCCGCAGTGGACTGATCGTTAAGACACGGTTCCCAGCAGATCACCGAAGTCAAGCATCACTGGCTACGGTCAGTGTGCGGGTGGGTGACCACTTGGATCAGCCTGCGTAGGGACCGAGGGTGTGCGGTATGGGTCCTCGTTAAACTGTTCTACCGTAAAGTGCTCGACTTCGCGTGCAGGTCGTCGGGCTACCAAAGCGGGGGTGCCATCCCCTCTGCAGAGGATCAAAATTGCGATGGCATGTCTTCGGATCATCCTCAGGGATGTTTCCCAGACCGTCGCCAATAGCCCATTGTGCAGCTCTAGTGCGACGTAAATGAACAACAACAACAACAAAGAGACTCAAGCTTCCGAATATGTGGTTTTAATCAGAAAAACGAGTCTTATATGGTAGAAAGTAAACTCCTAAATGTGATAAAAAAAAAAGTTACGAAGCATTTTAAATTAATTGCTTAAATATTTAAATAAAATTCATATATTTTGATTAAGACTCTTTTGATATTGTGGGATACTTTAATAGTGTAATATTACTCTACATTTTGGCCATGAAACGAAATGCACAAGACTCAAATTGTAATTGTTCTTAATTGTTACAAAAAAAAATATTTTTTTTTTGCTCTAATTTTTGAGCAATTTGATATTATGTTTAAATCATATATCATGATATTATGTTGTTTATGTTTAATGTATTCTTACAGTTTGAAAAAAAAAACATTGAGAGTATTCTTTATTGTATCCGAAAGGTTTTGCATCAAAATGGCTGCTGTTACGGACATCACAAATGAAATTGAAGATAAAAAAGAATTCTTGCGTAGCGCAGGAAGGAGGCTTGACTTAAAAGGTTTAGTCGATGAAGAGATTCTATACACATTTTGCGGAAATGGACGCAAGTATATTCTATTCATTCTACAGCTTTACCCAAAAATCGGAAAAGTATATTTTACAAATCTCATGGACTCTTTTAACGTTGAACACATTCCACGTAAAGCAGAATTGCTCACTGCTGACCTTCAAGATATGTAAGTAACTGTTTAATTCACTTTACTTGATTCATTCTCATATTCCAGTATTTCCCAAAGTGTGGTACGTGTACCCCAAGGGGTACGGGGACAGTTTAGCGGGGGTACGCTTTTTTATGCAAAATATCTTGCAACAAACGAAAATTTCCAAAATTTTTATTTGAAAACAAAGCTAGCCATGAAAATTTACGATCACGTATTTTTCTTTTGGCTATTTTTTGCAAATTTAACAGTTAATAATTACTGGTGTCAACAGCCAGTAGTGATTTTTAACTTTTGTGTAATTTTTTTATAGTAAAAAATGCATTCATTTTTTTATTAGTGGTGCATAGGGTTACGAAAAATTTAGAAATGGTACACAAAAGTCATAAGTTTGGGAAACATTGGCATATTCGATTAATTCTACAGCTTTTTCCAAACATTCGAAGAGTATATCTAACACATCTCGTGGATTCTTCTAATGTTGAAAATATTCCAACGCAGAATTGCTCGCTGCTGACATCATGCACACGAGATATGTAAGTAACTGTGTAAATTGCTCTTGTTCTTACAAAGTAAAATTACATAGTTAGTCCATACAACTGTTGCAAACTTAGAGGAAAGGTGGATCACGTAATGAGGATTAAGAATCGGATAGCAAGTTATCGGAAACAAAGGATATCATCTGGAAATGTCATCGTACCTCGCTAGGGGCGCCTATTCGTCTTAAACTAGCTTTTCATTCACATTTGAAACATTAAATTTTCTCAAAGATGCTTTAACGTCTTATTGCCTAAAATTGCATTTAAATAATCCCATAAATAGCTGCTTTTTTTTGTAATCCAATGATTTGGTGATTATCTTATCGATCTAATCACATTGGTCACCAAATCATGGAACTATAACAAAACAGCTATTTATTAGTCATTTGAAAGCAATTTATGACAATAATTTCTAGGAAATGGAAAACGTAAATAAGATAATTAAAAATACTGCTTTAAATGCGCATGAACAGCCAGTTCATGACGGGATGTTACCAGCAGTGGCATGCGATGACTATTTTGGGGAAATATTCTATGTAGTTCTCAATTCTTAGGGTGTGCCTTACCTTCCACCTATGCGGCATTTCAGGAAAATCTTCTGGGAATTAAGCCAAATATATAAAATAGCTGAAAACGTCAATATAATAGACTTCAATATTACAACGTCAAGAAACGTTAATAATTAAAGTCTCAGTTTTGTGAATATGGAAATCTTTTTTGACATAATTTGTTAACATTCCAAAAGTTATCCCAATGTTGTGCATTCTATTCTAAGCGCATAAAACTATGCAAAAATTAAGAATTACTCATTAGTTTTGATAAATTTCATCCTAGCGGGAAAAAATCGGTGATTTTTAAGAAATGTTTAATAACTTTTAAAATATTTCAGCCATTCGTTCCATTCTAAGGCCTAGAAAATTTTTAGGGTAAGATATATATATGGTTTCAAATTATACCTTTACCTCAAATGTAGGACACTGAATCTGTGTTTTTTTTTCTTTTTTTTTGCTTGGCGAAAGAACTTAAAAAAATACTGTTAATTTTTTTTGCCAAGTCTTTTAGTTTTGGAGATATCAGTGGAAGATGGATCCAAATGATAGTTTTTGAGTGTTTTTGGATTTATAAAAGATACTTAGTATATTTGGTGACAAACAGTCGATAAATAACCTTATAAATCTCCAGTTTTAGCTATAAAGTAAAACTCCAAACACGAACGCTATGACTCGAACAGTTTCAGTAAGTGGCTGCGATTTATAGATTTTGCCAATCGAAAGTTAGTCATAAATAAATTAAGATAAGACAAAATCGTAATTTTCAACTATTAACACATGAATTTTAAAGCTAATTTACTTTAAACACATAGGAATATTCCATAGATTATTCTTGCACTCAGTTCTTGATTTCATTTTGATAAAAGGATGATATTGATAAGGCTGGCTTTATCGAATATATTTTATTAATGTAATGGTTCAAGAAAGTATTACTATAGACAAGCATAGTGTAACTACCACTACAAATATTAAATACTAATTTACTACTATATAAAACATGCCAACTTTACAAGAATGAACTTTCAATAAATTAAAGTAATCGTATACAAAACGATAATTTTATCTGCGGAAAGCAGAGGGGGAAGGGAAACGTTGATTGTTTATATTTTAGGTTATTTTGATTTATTAATTTTAATTTAATTGTATTTAAACATGCCTTCAAAATAAAATACAGTTACACCAAAAATTAAAAATAAAGTGATTTAACACTTTAACTTAAACTTACTTAAATCAATTAGTCACGATCGAGAGAGAAGACGAAGTTCTTCATTAGTTCCCACTGTAAATTTCGTGTTTTATTTATGATATTTACAGTTATGATGATTGACTTTTTTTAATTAAAACTAATTGAAAGAGAAAATAGTTGCATTGGTTTTCTTTTTTTTCCTTTTTTTTATTACTTTTTAAAACATTAAAAAATTTATATCACTAACTTCAGGGGCCCTTTCTTTTAAATAAATAAAATTTTAATGGAACTATTTTTAATTTGGGGTATAAACCTAGGAATTTAAATTCAGTTTCAATGAAATGGACGGTCCGGTACCATTTGATCCACGGACCGGTACCGGTCCGCTGACCAGGGGTTGGGGAACACTGCCCTAAGCTAACGAGCTACTTCCGAAAATTATTAAACTGGAAGTAAAATATCATAATAGGCTTTTAAAAACACTTTTAATGTAAGAAGAAATTTTCTTAAAAGAAAAAAATATTTATTTATTGACAATCATAAAAAAATTGAAAATTATTAAAAAACATTATTTACTTATTGACATTGTAAAGAAAAATCAAGACAAGTTTGTTCACCTTGATGGTATACATTATTAATTTAAAAATGCATTTTTATGCCTGCATATTAACTATTTGACGCAGATGAGACACGGGTCAGTTACCTTATTATGTATTTTCTTCCCGACTCTCTAATTACAAGTAAAAATATGTTTTGGTATTTTCTAACTAAAATAAACAGTCGAATAGCTACTAAAAATATATATAAGATTATCGTAATTATATTTGTATTAAAATCCAAAATCCAAAAAAAGGAGTTTTCATTCCTGTCATTTCATTTTTTTCATTCTTGTTCAAAAATTTATCAATAATTGATTTTACAAATTAAAGAAATTTCAGCGATGATCAATTGTTTCTCTTAAATCTAAATAACTGCAAATTTGAAGAATTAGTGCTTGATAGGAAGCCGTGTTTGGAATATTTTAACTTCAACATAGAAAAGGATTCCAGTGTTTCATGCAGCATTTCCTAACCTTAAATTATTTAAGTCCCAAGTATAATATTTTTAACTTACTTTGACCTAAATTAATACAACATAATGGAAAAGTATGAAGAAAAAAAATGTTTAATGCATAGTTTGCGTCAAAGGGTTAAACTACGTTAATCTGTAAAACTCGTGTAGTAGCTAATGAAATGTTCATTTAGCTACTACTCGATGCTAATGAAATGTTCATAGTAGCTGAAGAAAATGTTCATTTTTTACCACGTTTATATAAACTTGCCTTCGTGTATGTCTGTCCGGGTGGAATTTTGTAATCGAATTTAAACTAACTTCCCGACTAGCTACAAACTTCAAATTTAGCACACTTTTCAGAATTGGATGACAATGCATGAAAATGAAGAGAAAAGACATACAAAGTAAAATAAAATTAAAATTTGAAAAAAAAAATTTTTTTTCGAGATCGTCTTTTGTTGTTGATTCCATTATTTCAAATTAGTATTACATGTCAGATGAAAAGATTTTTATTGTCGGAGTATTTTTATTGGCTGAAAAATCACGTGGTAGGATCCAGTTTTTCCTCATTTCCAGATCGTTTTGGTTGTCATCAGCATAAAACTAATGAAAGTCGTAAAGGTATTGTTTTTCTATAAAGATTTTTGTATCCCTAATTTAAAATGAAAGTTCTATTATTTTAGTAGTGGTCTTGTAGTAGTCTTGACTACTCTTGACTAAGAAAAATAATCTAAATAAAAATATATATTTTTAAAAACCACGTTTTTTGTAGTGAAGAATAATAATTGAAAAGTAATAATTTTTAAAAAATATAAAATAAAAATTAAAAAT